TTTTTTTATCCTATGAGAAAATTTACCTTGATCTCTTGACGGGAGATAACAAGTTATTATATTTAATATATTGATTAACTAATAATTATTTTATGTATATACTGAGCGAAAAATGTACTAAATTTTAATAAATATTTGTTTGAATAGTTTCAGGAATATTTACGAAATGTAAACATATATTTATTTGGTACAAGAATCATTAATTTGATGTGTGTGTGTGTGTGTAATTATTATTATTTTTATTTAGCAAATAGTTATTTTCCGTAAATAAATGTTATATTAGTACTACTCAAATAAGAATTATTTATTACAATTTTTATTACATTTTTTTCTCTGTGTATGTATTATAATATACGTTATATGATTAACATTCTGCAAAGCTACGAAAAATAAATCATTATAATCCCAAAATATTTGTTATTAAATATTTAGGTTTGGAGTAAAAGAGACTTACTTGTCAAATCGGGGACGACAGTGGGCAATTAATTTTCGGTAATTGCGCAATAGTGATACGCGAATTCCCGAGCAAAATTGATTAACTGCTCGCGTCATTAGGCGGGAAAAATACGCCCCTAACTACCAGTCAGCCACTCCGTGCCACGTTCATTCTCTGCATTCTCTAACCTTGCTAAACAAATGCGTTCTCTTTCTTCGCGGGCAACCCTTCCCGAGAACTTAATCAAGTTTGGTCGTAACTTTCAGTTACGAACGTTCCCACTTTGACCGTTCAGAATTGAGAACTGCTTTCAGGCGGGCCTATTGTCGTCCCTTTTTCACAAAAATGCTTTTTATACATTTCATTTAGCTAGAAGATCGTTTTCGCACGTTGGCCTTTGTAAGAAGACAGCGTGAATGATAACGATCTTTTTTAACTCTTGCACGGATTACGTAATTTTTTACTCAAGTGCCGCATAAAATTTTAATAGAAATTCCTGAGATACATTTCTCCCTTCTCTTACGGAAAGCTGTTTGGCTTTATAAACTCTTCAATTAATAATATGATAAAGATGAAGATTATAATATAATAATTTAAATTAATAAAGCGGTATATAATCTAATAATTTTAATAAACATTTAATAAATAATTTAATAAATTTAATAACATTTCATTAATTAATAGCATTTTAAAAATTTCGAAAATTCTTATATGAAAACAGATATCTTGAGAAATGCTCGATATTTATATTTTCATATTATAAATCCTGATTCTAACTTAATCTTCAAAATATCAATAATTATTAGGCTATTCTATGTAGAAAAGAGATAAAGAATATTTGTTAAAAACAAGTATTATAACACGAATAAATCAGGTCAGCTTCTGCAATGACTTAAAATTTTAATTTATTTGATGAAATTCGTTTTCTCAATTCCCTTAATTCCTAAATTGGTGGAAACATTGTTTCGCAAGAGTGTCTGATATCGAGTTCATTTTCTAATCCCCTAAGCTGATAATACAAACCATAAAATCTAATTAAAGTTAATTGAATAAGAAAAATTAGAGAACAATGAATACATTTTAATTTTAATTAATTAACGATTAGATTTTTTTTTTTAAATAACGTCACGCAGTTATCAAGATAGCAAAAACATAGCTCAATATATAGGAGGTATATATTAAAGCAATGATGAATAATAAATATTTTCAGCAAACTTGGTGATATTTGTTCGTGAACGAGTAGATAAACTTAGTCGACTTTCGGTCGTCGAGACCCTTCTAAATATCGCAGTCTTTAATCCGCAAATGTGTTGTAATTAAAGCGAGGCTGGGTTAGAGTCCTTGTAATGGGCGAGGCGCGCAAAGCCCACTTCAATTTCGGTTGCTAGGAAACTAATCTTCCAACACTTCGTGAATTCCGTGCATTTCGATTTGCCGAGTAGAAATTACTTCGATCTAATGAGTGTCGATGAAACTTCGATTTAAGTTGTAAGGGAATGCACCAAGTTACGTCACATGTGATAATTATCGGCAAGACGGGTGTAAGGAACCCGTCCGAACCAATCATACTAGCAGTCATATTTATAAAGTTTTCACGCGAAATCATGTAGTATTTTCTTCCATCCCGCAAATATTACAAATTAAAGCAAATATTACAAATATCGCTTTTAGCTCACTTGACTTCATGAAGAAGTTTATATTGTGTATAATTAAAATTTTTTTTTAAATTAAATTAATATGGAGTGAAAATAAAGTTATCAAAATTAAGTACATTTTACACATTGTTTGTCAATTCGTCATTAAACATGAATAAGATTACTGCCATAAAGTAGATAAAAACGTACGTTAATAATAAAAGAGAATCATTTTATGCAATAAATAACAACAATAAATTTTTTGTTTGTATTTCAAGATCATAGTCAAAGAAAACAAAAATAGATCCTACGAAAATGTGTGATGATTAAAATAGCCTTAAGCCAACTCTATACTTTTATACCTTGGTGCTTTTAAGAGAACGTGAGATGTGTCAGAACAAGCATGCCGGCTTAATTCTTTGGTTTTAGGTATTATCGCTCGGCTCTTGAAGAGGCTTTGGGATTCTAGTGGCGGTTTAAACCGAGATTACGTTTAGTGTATAAGAATTCTCAACAGTTCGTTGTACTTACCCCATCGGTCGTCTCAGATATCCTCGATCTCCGCATTCCTCCCTGAAAAACAAAAGAAACATTTTCATTATTAATGAATGCTATACTTTCGCACTTACCATCTGTAAATTTTAAATTACTACAACAAAAAACAACTTTGCCGAAGTGGATATATTTAAAAAATTTAGTTTACGGAAATTAATTAATTTTACGAATACAGTAATTTACCGAACTGAATTCGTACGAATCCGTTTAGAATTAGATCAATTTCTAAATCTACAGATCTACATAAACCATCTGCGTTTGTCAGATTGATGGTGGCACGCAACCGAAGGAATCATCGGAGAAAAGCGGAGGTCGAAGGAAGGTATATTGCGGTACAATCTGTTTCTATCAGTTTCTCGCAGTTCACGATATGGAGAAAGGAAAGAGGAAAAAAAAGGATAGGACAAACGGATAGGAGAAACGCACCACTCGGCGAATCCGAGTATCCCATGCAGAATTTCCCTCGAGAAAATCACCTTATCCTCCAACCTCAATTCTTGTTCCCGCAGACAGGAATGAAATATCTATTTGCATACGCGAGCCTCGGTCCCGCGGCGGTCTCTGAACTCCCGGCAAGGTAAATAACGATCTGAAATTTTCGCGGCGGCATCTTCGATGGCGGCGGCAGCGGCAGCAACGCGGTTGCGAGTTGAAGGCTCGCGGCTACGAGAATCGACGAGGGAACTACTTTCTTCGATAAGTGAATTATTTGCCATTTAGTATTCGTCCGACAACGGTGCGCAATGGAAAAGGCAATGTAGAAACGCATTCGTAGAAACAACTGCAAATCCCGGAAATATACATACAATGAAGCTATATTACAAAGAAAAATAAGATAAAATTTCAGAAGTAGACGTGGAAGACATTAAAAAAGGCTGTATATCAGAAATTAAGGAATCCATCTCTCGGATTTCTCATTACATTTTTCAAAAAAGTTTTTATCTTAAATTCTTGCGCTTCAATTTCTCCTGTTATTTCAATTCCCATCATCAACGAGACGACATGACGAAGCGCAACGCGTCTCTTACAATTTTTTTTTACCATTAAACGTTATATCGACATAATCTTCAATAAATGCATAATCTCGCCGCGCCGTCGTATGCATTAGGAAGGCTACGCCGAGCAAAGAGATCAAAGCGGATATTTTACGATGCCTTTATGTCGGGACTGGTAGCTCGGAGCTAAGGAAAGAGATTAAACGCAAACACGAATGGTACAACGAATCGGCTAGGTAATGTTGAAACGTATTGACTTACGTCTACATACGGAGTGCTACAAAGAGATATATATCAGTTACTGCAGAACTACACTGTCGAAGCAATTCCGGCTAAATCTTCTTCCGCAAGAATGTCATATAAGAACACATACTCCTCTATGACTCCTCTACACGCACACGTGGATCTTTCTCTAATCTCTATTTCGTTAACATGGTATTTAATCTTTCTTGATGGAAATCTCGTACTAAAAATATTTCCATCTCTCCCTCTAGTATTACGTGAAAAAAACGAGAAGTAATTAAAAATTTAGCTGAATATAGATTTGAAAATAATTTTGCGGGACCAAAATAATTACATAGGAATCTCAGATATGATTAACAATTTTATTTTAGTAATATATTTTAGCAAACAATTTGAACATATTACACAATTATTTTGATGGTCTAGCAAAATTTTTTTACTTTCGCAAAACTATTATTTCCGTATACAATTTTTATTTTGAACATATGTTAAAAAATCTTTATAATTATATGTTACTATATAACTGATTATCACTGCTATAGCAATAATAACAGTAACTATGTGTATAGTTCTAGCAACAAATGTATATAGTTGGCAACCTAAAATGACTACAATTATAGTTATTATACCACCATAAAATAGTTGAAATTACTATAAAAATGATTCAAGTAACTGTAATTTTACAGTTATATATACTTTGGAACAATAATTGTAGTCATTTTAGGTTGCCAATTATAAACATTTGTTGCTAGAACTATACACACAGTTATTATTATTATTGTTATTATTATTATAGCAGTAATAATTATAATAATATATAATTATAGTTAAAAATACCAAACATTGTTCTCTCAGTGTGCATATAAGTACAGAAAAAATTCTACGGTTGCCACAACTGGAAATAATATGACAATTTTCGCCCATCAATATATTTGGTTGAGATGGACATATCTTAACAGCCATAACCGTTAAGCTATGCCAACCTTACGGTTATCACAACCGTTATTACAATTCTTATAACCAAAAAATGTATTGATGGTCGACTTTTCATCGTGATGGTCGTGACAACTGCAACCGTTTATTTTGTTGAGCTTTTACATTACACACTACTTTCAAGCAATAAATTTTCCGATGATATGAGACAGAAGGAATGAAGACAGCATGAATATATAGCCGCACAATACAATATCATACAATTTGCTTTGTGTGCGGATTAATACTACGGCGCATTGTGTGAGATGAATACGGATGATATATAAAGCCAGAATAGATTAGGGCACCGTTGCACGTCAATATGCCATAGAAATCCAGTCCACTCGGTGTCAGTATCTGCAATCTATTGTGGTGCATTTTGCTTCGAGTGCAATTCGGTAATTTCATTAATTAGACAATGGTGCGTTCAGCATAGCGTCTTAACGAGGAACGATTGTTACAGTACTTCGACCAATAACCCTCTTAGCTTGAGAATTGCAATGATCCGCAAATTCTGTGTAACGCGATTAAAGGAAACCGATCGTAGATGTTAAACGTAATAGATTAATAACATAACAAAAAATATTTAATTTATATTATAACTTATATTTAGCTCCAATCTAAAAATGATCTAAAACAATATACATTTCCCTTTTTTTTACATTCCAAAATTTGCATTATTATATATAGATGATATGTCTTTGTAAACTCTTGAAAATTAAAATACAAGTGTATTAATTTTTAATATTATATTAAATATCAAAAGATTAATAGTGCACCTATTCCCTTGAGTTAATTAACATTCTATCATTTTTTACTTCCATATGTGTCAAAATGTAAATCAATCTATTTATTAATAAGTTAGCTAATAGGTTAGTTTCAACATAAACGTCTATATTAATGTAATTGTGCACTTAATAAAGAATAAATCAAATTCAATCAAATTTATTATATTTTCTTGAATTAATTTTATTGTTTTAATTAAATTAACAACATATTTAATAAGCAGAAATGATTAAAAATAATTCAAATTGGACAATAATTTGACATTATGAATTTAATATCTACAGGCCCGATGAAGAATCGTCATTAATTTTCGAGAGAGAAAACTAATTTTGTCCGTAAATGTGTAATTTAATGTAAAACGTAAACATGATAATATATTAGTACTAAAGATAAATAAGAATATGAAAAACGTGTGTTGTAATAATTATAAAAAACTGTCATGGTACGTAAAGAGTGATCGATAATGAATTAGTAGTTATCGTGTTTTAAATTAATAGATCTTATGCGATAAAAAATAACTTCATACAGTAACATTATTCGATAATTTTTCATATTGTTAATATCGAAAGATAATATCGCGCGATGAATATATTAGGGCAATGCAGTAGAAAGTGTCGCAAGTAAAGTGTCGCGTGCATATCTATATGTGAGCTCGCACTAGTTAAAGGGTTGACTAACATGATCCAAGCGCGTTAGTTATGATAAATGACCAGACAGTCGGCGAAACTTTAGCTTATAAATCTATCTTACTGTCAACCTTGCACGGCCTACGACTACTGACCGTCCCCGAGGCAATGAATCGTATAACCCATTTGCCAAAATTTCTCGCATTCGGAATTGCGGTAGATATCGTGTCGTAAGCTCGATCTAAACTTCCGTGCTTAATACATGAAACAAATTTCTGCACGTCAGATTTAATTGACATGAATTAACCACCACTCTGTTAATTATCGTGACATATCTCGAAAATATATGATGATATATATAAGAGAAACAAAGAATATCAAATTCCAGCTTTGAAAATGCTACACTCTAAAAATAGCGGTGTAAACTTAACACCACGCGATGTCTATACATATATTAATAATATATG